AAGTGGACACATAACAACGACGACACATACACACCACAACGCCTACCCGATGCCTCCACTGAAAACCCTGCTATACGCGTCTTGTCGAACATGCAGATTGGTCAAACGCCCACCCACGTTGCCATCGCCACCGCCGTCGTCGCGGCGACGTAACGCGTGCCGCTGCCGCTGCCGTCACCGTCGCCGTCGCCGTCGCCGCTTCCGTCGCCGTCGCCGTCGCCGTGGCAATCGTCGTCGCCGTCGTTGTGGTCGTCGTCGCTGTCGCCATCGCAAATGGCACCTCCGTCGCCTCCGCTACCGCCGCGTCGCCACCGCCGTCTCCACCGTCGGCGCATTTCGTCGCCGTTACACTCGTGGCCATCGCCATCTCCGTCGTCGTCGCCGCCGTCACTCGTCGCCGCTGCCGTTGTCGCCGTCGTCAAGCTTCGCCGTCGTGGCCAGTGCCATCGTCGCCGTCGCCGTTGTCGTCGCCGCCCTCTCGACCGTCGCCACCGTCGCTGTTGTCGCGTGGCCCGCGTGGTCGCCGCCGCCGTCGTCGTGGCCGTCGTCGTCGCCATCGCCGCGTCGCCGCCGCCATGCCGTCGCCGTCGCCGCCGTCGCAGCTTTCGCCGCCGTCGTCACTACCACCATCACCGCGGTCACCGCGATTGCCACCGCTGTCGCCGTCGCCGATACCATCGCCGTCATGGCCAACGCCACTGCTGGGTTGCCGACGCGGTCGCCACCGTCACCGCCATCGTTGCGCGTCGCTGTCGTCGTCATTGCATCGTCGCCAGCCGTCGCAATCACCATCGTCACTATCCGCCCGCCTGATCATCGCCGAATCCATAGTTGTTGGCCATCATCATAAGAAGAAAACAGGCCGCCCTCGACCATCTTCCAATGTTCTAGAGCGCCGTCGCGTCGTCCCCGTCGAGATGCCACCGTCACGGTCGCCATCGCCGTCGTCACCGTCAGCCGTCGCACGCTGCCGCCGCGTCACCGCCGCGGTCGCCGCCATCCTCGCCGTCGCCATGGCCGCCGCCGTCGCAGCGTCACCGCCGCGGTCCCCAACGTCGCGGTCGCCGCCGTCGCCGTTGCCGTCGCTGTGGCGGCGTCGCTTTCGTCGCCTTTGCCATCGTCGGCAGCCATCGCCGTCATCATCGTCACTTCCGTCGGCCTCATTCCCGAATCCGGCTGTGGAGTCCCTTGCGGGGCACCGTTGGGCCATCTTCGGCATCATGGGGGCCCTCTTGGAATCCTGCGGCCCGCGGTCCGTACATGGCGTTAGGTCGGGCATGTCCCCCTACAGGCGGATTTCGGACGAAAACTAAAAATTTGTTAACCAATACCCCGAAATGATCAAAAACAGTTGGAAAACCGCCCTCAGACTATTTTTTTACAATTTTTAATATTCCTCCTGTAGAGGGACACGCCCGACTTGAACATGGCGTCCTGGATGATTTCGGGCCCGTCCTGGGGGCTATAGCGCCACTCTTGGGCCGTCGTGGGCCATCCACGGGTCACGTCATGGCCTTCATGGATCGCTCGCCCTGTCCGCCCTCCTCCTTCCTCCTCATCCTCAATGCCCCCTCCGCCGCGCACCGAGTTCTACATCTACGCCAGGGCGATCTAGCGTCAAGGCTTCGGCAGCCCAGCGAAGCAAGCTGGCGAACACGTTTTTGTCAGGGGGACCACCACTCCCTCGTACGCGCAGTTGTTCCTCAAGTAGTGCTCGCATGTATGGTCCTTCACTCGTCTTGTAAGCAATTTGGTGGGTTTCCCCAGGATTCGCCATGCTCGCTCCGGTGCCTGCTCGTGGGCACCCCGTGCGCTGGGTGTGTTTCCCGAGGGCTCGCCACGTTCTCGCCCGTGCACGCTCGTGGGCCCCCGTGTGCTGCTTGGGCTTCTCGAAATTTCGCCGCGTTCGCGCCCGTGCTCGCTCGTGGGCGCCTCGTGGGCGCTCCGTGCGCACGTAGCTTAGACCACGTAGCTTACACAGCATGGCTTACGCACCATGGCTTACAACACATCAGTTGAACAGCACAGCTTTCACCACACAGCTTACACCACATAACTTCCACAACGTTGCTCACACAATAGATGTTACACAACACACCTTACACCACATTGCTTAGCCAACATAGCTTTCGCAACATAGCTTGCAAACCACATCTAACACCATATAGCTCACACCAAGTAGCTCATGCAACATAACCTATTCAACACAGCTTACACAACATAGCTTCCACCGCAGAGCGTCCACCACATGTGCAAATCATAGCTTTACAATGTTAACCAGAGCGGCCCCCAAACAGTGTGCTTCGAGCAACATGTGCTGGGCAATCTCTGTGGAGCAATATATACATATATATGCGGAACAGTCTACGTGGTGCAACATCTGTTGTGCATTTTATAGTTGTGTCATATAAGCTGCGCAGTAATTAATGGAGAAAATTAAATCGTGCAATATATGTGGTGCCCTCTATGTTGTGAAACGTGTGTTGTGCGCAATATTTGTGGTGCAACCGATGTGGCGCAATATGTGGTGTGCTATCTACGTGGTGCAATCTATGTGGCGCCGCAATGCGCAAGAAGGCCCAGACGACGGGCGGCGACGGTGCGGCGACGGCGGCAGCATAGCCGCCAGAGCGGCACACTGGCCCAGACGATGGGCGGCGACGAGGCGGCGACGGGGCGGCGACGGCGGCAACATAGCCGCCAGAGCGGGACGGGCGGCGACGGGGCGGCGACGGCGGCAACATAGCCGCCAGAGCGGCACACCAGCCCAATTCCCCAGAACAGACATAAGAATCCTTAGGTGCAAGCACTGCTTGGAAAACATAGGCTACACCACATAGCTTACACCCCATTGCTCACACCACTTAGCTCACATCACGTTGGTGACACAGCACAGCTTACGCCACAGAGGTCACACAACACAACTTGCACCATATAGCTCACAACGCATAGGCTACACCACATATATTTCACCGGATATGTTACACAACATATCTTACATCACATAGCTTCAACGGCAGAACTTACACCGCATAGCTTACACAGCTTCGCTTACTCGAGATAGCTAACACCGCATAGCTTCCACATCATAGATTACACAGCGCAGCTTGTACAATATAGCTTACAACGCATCGATTTCACTCATACCGTGCAGAAGCTCACTGTTTGGGTTGTGAACTCCGCGTTAGGCCAGTTTGTAGGAAACTACGAAATCTTTTTTTTGCTCCCAAAATGCTTTTTTGATTTCCGAATCGGATGCTCCAAATATGCTCCTAATATTTTCTGTTATTTACACGATGCTCCAAAAATGTTCGCTCGATTTCTGTGTATTTTTCACGATGCTCTCAAAATGCTACCTTAATTTTCGTGTTTTTTGGGGGATGCTCGAAACATGCTCTTCGCAATTTGTGTGTTTTTCACGCATGCCCCAAAAATGCTCTATTACGCTGTTGCTCTGTTTGAAGATGTTCGAATGTTGCCCATTTCATCATCTGCTTTCGCAGCGGTGCTCCAGAAATGCTGGTCCCATGATGAGAGCAGCATGTCTGGGGCACCGCCACGAAAGCAGATGATGGAATCTGGGCAAAATTGGAACATCTTCAGAACGAGCAGCAACATAATACAGCACTGTTGGGGCACGTGCGACAAACGCACAACATGCAAAGAACATGTTTCGATCATCTCCGGACGAAACAGAAAGGCAGCAGTTTGAAGGCATCGTAAGCAGCATACATAAACATCAAGCGGGCATGTTTGGAGGAACGTTTTAACTAACACCGCATACTTGGAGCATGTTTGAAGCATCCTATTCGTAAAGCAAGCATTTTGGGAGCAAAACAAAGATTTCGTCGTTAGAATACGAGCTGGCGCAATCAAACAGGTAGGTCGCACAAGCGGCAGTAACCGTTACCAGTAACCGAATAACCACTCATACTTGCGCCCCGCTACCATGCTCAAGTGACCTTGGGCTTTGCTACTAAGTACTGCTGGCTATCGGCTACTAACTACAGCTACCACCAGCTATCTGAGCTATCAGCGAACTGAGCCAGGGTAAAAACACGATTTGAAAAACATAGGAGGAGACGTATTGAGACGGAGCGAGGCGATGATCAGGATAATGAGACAGGTGGACACACGATGAGGCTAAACGACATTGGAGTAAGGAAGTCAGGAAGTAGGACGCGGAGGAGGAGGAGGAGGAGGGAACAGGCGACGGCCGCGGGGAGAAGATAAAGGAGCATGTAAATAACCAATCGAGGTGGGGAGCTGGAAAGAAGAGGGGTGAGAAAGAAAACGGGCAAGGACGGAGGGCGAGGGAACGAGGGCGGAGGTTGGGAGGGAGCCGTGAGAGGAGGAGCGAGGAATGAAGAGGAGGTGCACGGCATGGGCCCAGGGATGAGGAAGTGAGTGGCGGGCAGTGCTTGCTGCAGTCCGTAGTCAAAGCCCCGGCCGTGCCCCCCCCTCTCCTCCTTCCTCGCTCTTCATTCTTCACAGTGGTCGTCCTCGTTCCCTGGCTCCTCATCCTTCTACTTAGGTCCCGGGTCCTACTCAGTGCTCATTGTCCTCTCTGCTGCTGCTGCTGCTGCTGCTGCTGCTGCAGCTCCTACTACTCAGCCTGCTGACTCACGACTCGACTCGTAGCCTCTGAGGCTCTGAGGTCACCAGGTCAGGAACAATGTTTATCCGCCTCCTCCTCCTCTTCTTCTTCCTCCTCCTCCTCCTCCTCCTCCTCCTCCTCCTCCCCCTCCTCCCACTCCTCCCTCCTCCTTCTCTTCCTCCTCCTCGTCGCCACTCGCCGCTCTCCTCCTCCTCCTCCTCCTCCTCCTCCTCCTCCTCCTCCTCCCCCTCCTCCTCTGCCCTTCCCTGTCCCTCCCTGGCCGCTGCTCTCCCTGTTCCGCAGCCAGACGCCAGACTGTCTTGAGTCTTGAGTCCTGGCAGCCGCTCTGGCTGCCGCTCTGGCTGCCGTCTGGCTGAGCTGCTCAGCTGAGCAGCTGCTCTGCTCATGTGCTCATGGATGAGCTCACCATCTCGTTGATCGTCGGGTGCATCAGTTGGGCGTCGATGCTTGCATCGGCGAGCGTCTTGAGCTCTTTGTTGATGAGCTGCTGGAACCTCTTGCTCTTTTCAGCTCCGTCGACCGCAGATCTCTTCTCGAATATCTTCATGAGCCGCCCCTCCATGCGGCAGATAGTAGCCGTGGTCATGGTCTCTTTCAGGTCCTTGAGGTGTTTCTGTGTTGCTGCATCTTCATTTTGTTCCTGATCTATGTCGTACTGATCCACGATCGCGTTGTACTCCACGAGCCCTGTCATCATCTTCTGTATGTGTTTGTAGATCGTCTCTGCATTCATGCTCCACATGCCTTTCTCTGTTGCGGCAGCTATCAAGACCTCCAGGTTTGCAGCAGAGTCGAGGCCCTCCTTCCATTTAGCATTATCCACTGCAGGCTGCAACTGTTCAGAGAAAGAATCTAGTTTCCTCAGCGCGTCGTCTGCGAACTGCATGCCGCATGCCTTCACGACTTTCGTGTGTTCCGTCACCTCTGCATCGAACGTTTTGAAATTCTCGATCACCATACTCGTGTCGTCGGCGCCCTTCGACTCGGTGATCTCAAACTGCGGCCGCATGTCGTTCCAGGACTTCAGGGATGCAGCAATAATCTTTGCAACCGCTGGGAGCTGTGGTGAATTTGCGTTGAGAGCCTCAGTCATACCGCGATGCTTCTTCATCATAACTGCCAACCTGTATAATTCGAACTCATCCTTTATGTTCTTGCTGATGCTGGTCCTGCCCTCGAGCTTTTTGATGCACTCGTCAACATCTTCGAATGCTTCGATGCTTGATGAAACTACATTCACTCGGGCTCCGGCGATAATCTTGGGAATGGCCTCATCGATAGGGTACTCCCCGGACTGCGGCAGCTCAATGCCTTTGCAGTTCTCCCAGGCTCCGGTCAGGTTCCGAGCTGCCGTGGCCACCTCCGCCATGTTGGTGAAAGACACAGCATCCAGAACCGCCTGGAAGGTCGGAAGTTACTACTAACTAACTTATTACTTATTGCCAACAACTCCACCCATCTGCCCTCTACCCTACGCCCTACGGGCTGCTCAGTATCACTCGCGATTGACACGTTCAGTTCGAGTTTCAGGGAAAGCCAAACAGCCGACAGACACTTTCCACCCATGAGAACATGATGAAACCTGGTGCCCTTTCCTTGGACAGGGGGGGCAAAGGACAAGGTACGAGACTGTGACAAGGTACACAGGCAGGGAAGAGGAACAATAACAACCATATGTCAGAAAGGCTCCCGCCTTCAAATTCTCGCCCAAATGCTTCAGCCTGTGGCTCTTCGACCTGTTCTGCAGGAGCGTCGCAATCTCAGTGCGAATAGCCACCAGCTCGTCTACCTTTTGGGGCATGTTCTCGATGGCAAGCTTAACTGTGTTCATGAAGCCCTCAAAGTAATCCAGAGTGGTGGAGTCGGGAGCATTGACGCACAACAACTTGCGGCCCTGGATGGCCGCGAGCGTCTTCGTCTCAAGCTCGCTCGTTGCACCCGCCCTGCATGTCTGTGTCAAGACTGGTAGCTTTTTGAGGGCCTGGTTGATGGCATCGAGGTTCTCGGGCTCGACTATGTTGCAGATGGCCGTCAGTTCTGGCAGGTGAGTCTGCTCAGCGATGGTGAACTTGAAAAACTCGCCGATCTTCTTGCTGTAGTTCTCCTCCAAGACTTCCTTGAACACATTGAAGTAGTCCTCGTCGCGCTTCACGCCCGCACCGTCAGAGATCGCGCCGCTGGCTGTGCTGTCCAGAACTATGTTGACGTCGTCCTTGGTGCTCCTCTGAACGCCGGGCGAGCTGTGGAAGATGGCGATCACGCAGCGGCACGCAATTGACGCAGAAGAGATCACCTCGCCGTCTGAGGCTGTGGCCAAGACCTTAGCGCACGCCTCGGCAATATCCAAAGCGGCTTTGTGATTCTTCGCCATGAGTGCAGACAGCATTTTGCCACTGATGTACTTCTCGTCAATGAAGGAAACCGCCGACCTCAAATCAATACCGTCGACTTCGCTCAACTTAGGTTCCATGGGGTCGAATTTTGATTCAGAGGCCGTGGGCATGACTTGCTGCTGTGAATGCTGCGGAGGAGGCTGCTCGTTCCCCTCGCCTGAGCTGCCGCCCGTGCTGGTAATACCGTCTAGGCGTAAGAGTTCAAAGAAATCGCTGTTCTCAGCAAATCCAGCGAAGGATGGTGACTGGCGCAACTCGTTTTCCTTCGTCGCGCAAACTAGCAGCTGGTGCGACTGCGGGAGCACGATCTTGTAGGATATCAACTCCTTCAGGTGCTGCTTCAGCTCAGCCACTTTCATTTTGGGCAAGTGCTCTTTGGTTAAATTGACGGCCAGCCTTGCGACTCTGCAATGCCTCTCTGCGCTGCGACCAGCCTTCGGGTGCTCCTGCATTGCCTTCTTGCCAGCCTCGCCCAACTAGGGTGTCGAAAAGCAAGGGCAACGGCAACGGCAACGGCCGATTGACTTAGTATCTAACATGCATTTCGTATAAAGTATAAATGTAGCACGTTGGTTCAAGGTTCAAGCCTCAAACAAAACACAGTGCTCGCTCTGAGCTCTCTAGGTCGGCTCACGGTATTGACAGGCTCAAAGCTCGAATAAGTGTAAAGACATGCTTGTTTCTTTACGTGTATATATATATATACACACATCATTATTCGGATCCGCCACCGTACCCTTGGGCATCGGCATGGAGTGGGCGTGCCAGACTGTCCCTGCCCCTCTATCCTCATTCTTGGATCTTGGAACGTTAAGCTTTAGGCCTCAAAGTTTAAGCGTTCAACCTATCTCAGGGTTCGGAGCCCTCCCGGTCAATTCCTGGGCGCCCAGTATCTCCCCATGCAGAACCAACCAACACCTCTCGAAAGACTTAGGCGAAACAGCAACGGTGTGGGGTCCAAAAGGCAAAGAGGCAGCGGGGGGGGGATTAACGAAGCCTTCCGCCCCAAGAGGGCCCCGAGCTACTCGCTATACTCCCAAGTGGCCCCAAGATCCCAAGATGCCCCCAAGAGGCGAACGGATGCCCCTAAGCAACCCCCAAGAGGCCGAGAAGAGACTCCAAGAGGCCCCATGCGGCCTCGAAAAACTACAAACTTGCCTCCAAGAGTCAAGAGTCCCTCGAGTGCTCCATGCCAGATACCATCGAACATCCACGACGCCTCATACCTACAACCTTGGCACGGTGGTGGGGCTGTGGGCTTTTTGGCCGAAGGCCATTCGTAAGTGTAAGTACAGGAACGGGGTTGGTTATGTTTGACACTAGACCTGGAAGATGTCCTTCCCAAGCTTCGCGCCAGTCCTGAGAATGTCATCAATGTCCACGCGATTCATCCAATGCTCGACCGCGCCCTTCGGATCCGATGGGGCGTCTCCCTTGGCAGGCGATCTGGCGGTGTTCATCGACGCGACCGTCTTGCTTCCACTCAGGCCCCCGCTTTTGATCTCCAACTCCTCGATGCCGCCGAGGTCGCCAGCCACGGAGCCAGCAACTGAAGCCCTCGCTGCGGCCGCTCCCGACGATGCACCTCTGCCGCGACTTCGGCCAGCCGCAGCCCCCCTCCGTCCGCCACCGCCACCGCCGCCACGACTAGCAGCAGCAGCAGCACCTCGACCACCTTTCTTAGACTTGCCTGCGAGCGTCTTGGCATTGCCCTGCTCCTTTGGAACATGTGTCGTGGTGACTACTTGCCCTTCGTCGCTGGCCTCGGAGGACGATTCAAATAGTTCTTTGCCGATGTCATCAAGCTCTTCTCCGGCAGCTTTCTTCTCTCGCCTCCTCTCTTCCCATTGTTTCATCTGCTCGAGGTCTTTGTTCTTCTTCGAATCCTCATCCGCCTTGACCTTGCGGACGTTCTCCTCGATCGCCTGCAGCGTCGGGAGGTTGGCGAATTGATTTCCTCGGAGCTGCTGGATCCGAGCTCCAACATCTAGCTTCATCTGCGAATCGAACTTGGCCCGTGCTTGGCCATCCACCAAGTGCTTCTCTGCTGGCAACAACCCAATACTCTTCGACAAATCGCACTGACTGAAGAAGCGAATCTTGCGGTAGGGTTGGTCGGGGTCTTGGAATACGAATGCTTTTTCTTCTGTGCCGTCCAAATTTCTGTTGAGCGAGATCTCCATTACATCCGGGATGCCTTCGTGGGTATGCAAGAACTTTTTGGTGAATTGATCCGAGTCCAAGACAATGCCATCCCAGTACAAGTAGGAACCCACAGTTTCGGTCGATCTGACCTCTGCCTGGTTGAACGGAGCCTCAATCTTCTTCAGCTTGATCTCCTTCGCCATGTCGACCTTCGTTTTGTGGTCATCGATGTTCGCAGTGTACTTCGTGGCGTGATCCTCCCATGAAGCGCCTGGCCAGACATCAAGCAACAATTGCATACAATCTCTGCAGGCCCTGCCCTGAGGTATCATCTCCTTCTTCTTCCTCACGTACGCCGCCCACGTTGTCTCCTGGGTGGAGAGCCAAGAAACAAGTTTAGCCTCAACATCTCGAGCCTCTGAAATCGAAACTTGAGTCTTGCCCATGATCAGAGCCCCTGGGACCCTGCGGGGGACTTACAAACATCGCCCCTGGGGGTAGCCGCTAGCCGGATAGCAATGGGCAAAGTTCGGCCGCTGATGAGCGATGAGCGGATCCCAGGTTTTTGTTGTATCTCTGAGCCTCGCCGAGTACAAACAAATATTCGCCCGCTCCCTCCCTCACACACTCATCGCCATCATCATGGTTCATCCTCCTCTCCTCCTCTCTCTTCCTGATTTGGTTTCCGCTTCCTGGATGTGTCACACTTCTAAACAAGCTTTGCAGATTTGCATTATCCTATTCTCTCTGATTCTCTCTGAATGTGGGCACGTGCCGCATCCCCAATCCTCGACGGCCCAACCGGGGGGGCAACGGGCAGTCAGTCAGTCAGTGCCGAATCCCCTCGACCGCAGACGAGACATGGGGCTTAGATGGGAGTGTGGGAGTGGTTGCTACTTTTTGACAGATCCGCCTCCTCCCTCCATCGCCCTATACCTTATACTATGCACCCCCAGCCCTCCTCCACACCCCCTCCCTCTCAACCCTGAAACTTTGTGTTTTTTGTTCTGCTTCTCTCAAATCATGCGCCCCCTGGCCCTGCCCTCTTTCCTCCTATCCTCCCCGTTTGGTGTTCGGTGGTCCGTCGGTGGCGTTTTGCAGACATCGCACTTGATGCTGACTGCCGCGCAGAACTTCGTCTTCTTGGAAGGTGGCTCTGCGCGCGCAGCAGCAGCAGCGGCGCCCTCGTCTCCAGAACCCAGCAAAGCATCCAATTCGCTCTGAAGAAGATCCTGGTAGGAGGCCTGCGAGCCCGCGGCCGTCATGGTCACAGCGGGCGCTGGTGAGTGAGCACTGACATCTGAAACATGGCGGGGCCTGATATTTCCGCGGCTACGGATGTACAAGACGTTGCATCTTGCATTTCTGTCATTCGGGTATCCTGGGACCCCTCCCCTAACCCGGATAGGAGCAAACGCCTTTGGGTTTGTTACAAGGGGGTATAAGGTATTAGGCTATGTGGGCTCTGAACGGTTCTCGGGTCCATCCAGAAAAGGATTGGGAAATTTTGCATATTGAAATCGCTTTAAGCTTAAGTTTGAGATGGCCAGGAAGGGGTGGCTGAAGGGCAAGGGAGACGAGTAAGTTGTGACGTTGCAGGGCGGGGGGGGGGAGGAGAGGAACGGAGGCAATCCTGTGGCAGGGTACAACCTCACAATCTACCAGACACCATACTGATCATAAACAATGCGCCAGACCCCTTTACCTTGGCCCTCTTGGCTCTTGGCTCAGGCTCATCACGGCTCAAGTCGCGTCTCAAGTTCAGATTCAATGTTCGACAGAAGGCACGCTATTTAACCATCCCGCATGCGGCAATGCTTTGTCTACCGATGCGGTTCCCAGAGATCCGCACGAGCTCAGCCGCGCGCAACATGTGCGGCCCCAAAACTTTATGTCCGAAAATTGGCTGGCTCGCGGGCTCAGACTCCATCACAGTCGGCTTACTGAGCAGCTGCAAGCGCGCATCTCCAGTTCAGGCTCTCAGGCCTTAGGTCTCAAATTGCAGAGGACCACGTCGGCCACAGGAAACAATTTCTGGACAATTCTGGTTCCCCCCTCCCTCTCGCTCTCTCTCTCTCTCTCTCTTCCTCTCCTACTCTTTCTCTCGATATTTACGCTCTGCACTCTACAATGCCAGCGCGCCCCGCGTGCCACACACGAAAACAATCATGGGTCCTGGGTGTCCTGTGCCGGGCTGTGGGGGTCTTGCGGCGGCTGCACTGATGGCGCGCGCTGCCACAACCCTGGCAACGGCACTTTCAAAATCATTGACATCATCGCCGATGCAAGCACAGGCAGCGTCATAGCCTCACCAGCGAGTTCCTGAAACGATTTCACATTGCCCTTTTTGCCGCAGGTGATATCCGCTGGGATGGGGTGACCTTGCAAGCGAAGCAACTCCTCCTCGAAAAGGATCCTGTCATGCTTATAAGAATATATCACGCTGCTAGTGGTGGCAACTTTCAGATTCCCCCACGGCTCTCTGACGTTCTGTTGAGAAATGTCCGCGTAGAAATTATCGACCAGTGCGTCTAATTTCTCTGACTTTGGAAGACCCTGGAAACCTCCCGGCGGATTTTTCACACGACTTTGCCAACCCAAGTCCAAGAGGTCCAAGATTCGTGGCTGAACTCCAACGCCTCGCAAACGAACCTCAGCTCGCCCAGTCCACGGTGCGGCATCCTCTGTCATGGACAATTTGGCCCGCATGTTCTGCGAATGCGTCTTCCACTTGGTTCTGTCCTCCCTGGCTGGGCGGGCTGCCTTGTGCAGCGGTGACGTGCAATGCAATGGCAATGAAAGAACACCGAACACATTCCTCGATATCATTTGATTGGGGGGGCAGCCCGATTGGGCCTGATCCGTGTTGGAAGTTGTTGGAGGCTAAGAAAAACAAGCGAACCCCAACTTAGTTATTTGCACCGTGGGCCTTGTCATTGTCAAGCAAACGCTGTACGAGCATGGGCTCGCCCTCTTGGTAGAACAGGTCATCGAGCTTGGTCGCCGCCATGAGCTTGCGTTTCTGGATGATCTCCTCTGGGCGCTTATCTGCACAGCGCTGATGCACTGATACATCGCGGCCCTCCCCCCTCCCCCCCCATGAGCCTCCTCAGGCCGCACTAAGTCACAAGAGGGGCCCAAGCGGGCCCCGCGCGGGCTCCAGGAGAGCCCACTTGGCAGGAGTCCCAGGAGGTCAGCGGGGTCCAAGAGGGCCCAACGCCAGAGTCCCAAGGCGTTCTTTATTTCTCTCTCTCTCTCTATAAATATGCCATTTCATTTCATCTCGATATATACTCTCTATACATATACATATATATCTATGTGTGTATATATATAGATATTTGTATGTACCATTATCACTATGTACATACAGACTTCTCGATCTAACGATCTATCTCTATCTCTCTCTCGTCGGGGAAGGCGCATGGAACGGGAGAGATGGAGGCGGCGATCTCTCCGGCAGCAACATACCAACATCAGGCCCTAATCATTAGGCCCGGCCTAGCACAATCATTCTCGAAGTCGGGTTCGCCCGAAAACTAGACCAACGATCAGGGGGCGGACGTAAGCATTGGAGAGGTCACGTGTCACTCGCGCACGGCTGCAACCACTTGTTGCAATGTAATGTTGTAATGTTGCCATGCGTTCGTGCAGTGATGCGCACGTCAGGTCGTTAAGTGTTAAGTGCCGAAGTGTCTGTATGTGTCTGCCCTTGCGTGTTCGCCAAGGGGCTTGCTTACGCACGTAAAAGAGTACATCTGCCCTCGAGTGCTCATGCACCGCCCCCCGCAGGCCCCTAAGAAATTATCAGCACTGGGACCCCCGCTCAATCTTATGAAGCCTTTGGCATATCCGCTCGCAGCCCCAGGAGGTCGGAGGAGACGGAGGAGTGGCTCAATAATGGTAGGCACACATCTCATGGAGGGAAGATGCTTCCAAGCAGGACGGCAATGTAACCCAATCATCTTCTCAAGAATTGTGACAGGAAGTGCCGCCGCATGCGAATGCCAATGCCGAGCCATCAAAGATACGGTTGACAGAAAGACGTCGCAACATTGGAATCGAGATGGTTCAATTGAATTCACTGTCAAGCTGGACGCATACCTCTCGTAATCACGAAGGTGTGTGTGTGTGTGTGTGTGTGTGTGTGTGTTGTGGTATAGACTTGTGAACGCGCGCGCGTGAGCTTACAGGCCCGACACACATGTCCCAAGACTCCTTAGGTCTCCTAAGGCTTAGGCCCCAAACCACCCACAGACGCCTAAGGCCCCTAGACACCCAATGACGCCTCAGGCTCATAGACACCCGCAGACGCCTAAGGCCCCAAGACAAACTTACCCTCACAATCATCGTGTCTGACGTGAGGCTTGACATAAGTTTATCATAACGTTCATCGTTCATTTCGTGATGCACGAACTCATGCATACACCAGTTTCCGTGCCATCATTGATCCCCACCGGGGTGATGTTCACGGTGGCTGATGTTGGTAGCAACCATGCATCCCGACATATACATGCCATATGGCCATCAGGTCCGAACTACACCCACAGAAGCCTAAGTCCGTAAAGTGCCTCCAGACAATACCCCGACACTCGAAGACGCCCCAAATCCCCAGACGCCGCAGGAAGCCTAAGGCCCCAGAGCACCCACAGACGCCTAACCCTAACGCGGCTTGAAACCTAAGGCCCCACCGAATTAGAATGAAGGCCTCGACCAGGTCCAGCGAGGCCCCGAGAGCATGCGAAGGGACAGAGGAACCGCTCAGAGAGGTCGACACATTAAGTGCACCACTGCCGATGCGTAACGGTGTAACGGCACCACTGAGCATAAAAGCGCCTCGGCGCCTGGGGCTCCTTGAAACAACCCCTCGGGCCTCGGCGAAGAACTGAAGTGCTGCTGCTCCGCCTCGGCCTAAAGCCAGAAGCCAGCAGCTCCGGAAGACCTGGCCTCAGCCAGAAGCCAACAGGTCTTCAAAGACGAATCGTAAACCTCTACCCTCCCCATCCTTTGAGGCTCTCTCAAGATCGGCATCGGAAAACAAATAACGATACATTCCGATCCGATACATGAGACCTCATGCTAAGCTGCTAATAAACCTTCCCCCGCTCTGGTTAGCGATTATTAGCCGTCTCGGACGGTGCTGATGAGGTTGAAAAATCATTCAGCAGACTGGTCGGCGTCGTTAGCTGCTGCTGCTGGCCTAAAGGAATCGACCAAGCCATCAAACAGCGTTTGAATCAAACAATTGGGTGTCATCCATCTGTGGCGGACCTGAAGGCGCGTCTGGTGGCATCGCAGCAAGCCGAGCGCGATCCCTGGAAGATAGCTTCTTCGGAGGCGCCTTGGGCACTGGCTCTGAGGCCCGCTTTGG